TATATAGATTATAATTTGGAAAGATTTCACCATCCCGTACAGAAGTCGAACGATAGGCGAGAGGAGAGACCAAAAAACCCCAACGCAACCCCCCGTAAACACAACTAGGTGAGCACAACAAGGTAAGCACAGAAGCCACACATGTGGCAGGTAAGCGACAGAGGAACAGGACGAAAGAGCGAAAAGCACAACCCCTCAAGCACAACGAGGGGAGGACAACCAAGGGAGTACAGAGAAGCCAACGAACCTGGAAGGGCTTAGCCAGGTACTGCAAGGCAGGCAAGGAATGAGTGACCCAGAGAAGACAATCTTAACAATTAGCACAGACAAACACACAAGGAACCAGGAGGAAAACATGCAAGAGCCAAACAAAATGCCACAACCGAACCCCAACACGCACCCTCAGTAACAAAACCGCATCAAAATGGCACCTCATAACATCCAGACACAGGAAAACCGTACCTCATAACAGTCACCACCACCATCGTACCACGTAACTCGTGGAGGTGGGACCCAGGGACTAACTCAAGCATGGGTCGGACATGCATATGAGTGGGACTGGATGGGTACAATGAGGAGCTGACCCGCATGGGCCAAGGGACCCCCTGCAGGCACCTGTGTTCCGCCGTTCCAACATTCGTACTCCAAAGACCAAGGATCTTGAGGTTATCTTGAGATGATTTCGGGGCTTTTTAGTGTCCCCACAGCCCGGTCCTCGACCAGGCCTCCACCCCCCAGGAAGCAGCCCGTGACAGCTGACTAACACCCAGGTACCTATTTTACTGCTAGGTAACAGGGGCATAGGGTGAAAGAAACTCTGCCCAATGTTTCTCGCCGGCGCCTGGGATCGAACCCAGGACCACAGGATCACAAGTCTAGCGTGCTGTCCGCTCAGCCGACCGGCTCCCCTGCCTGGCTGAATGGGAGGCTGAAAGACGCCAGATTCCATAAACTCACCTGCAGAATGGAGGCACAAACGTGTCACGACACAACGTAGCTGAGAAGATGCCGGGAGCACTGCCAGGGAAAGAAGGCCCGAGCCACACATGCAGAAAGGGAGGGGAGAGGTGAAAGAGGCGCCCCACACCCATAACACGGGGAAAACCATGGCATCCGCCCCATAACCCCAACCCAGAACACCCCAGTAGCTACGGGGCAAGGACTGGAGAAGCGAGAAGAACGAGAGGCGAAGCACCTGGGAGAAAAAGGCCGCAAAACATGAGCACTCATGCACACCGCCCAGACCAAAACAAACTCCCACGGCACACGCGCTCAACTCACTTTGTGGGAAGGCGCCCAAAAAGGCCTACTGCACAAGTAGCCCAAACAGCCCGTGACCCGAGGGATGGGCGCAGGGGCAGAAACAGCCCAGCGGACGGGAACAGGAGCGAAAACAGGAAGAAGCGACATACATAGCCGGGGAATGTAAGGAAGACAAGGAACGAACCAGCAGCCCAAGTGGGCTACAAGTAGCCCAAACTGGCACCCCGGATAAGGAGTATGCAAAGAAAATGAACAGTGCCGAGACCGAGTACTACCAAACAACCTTCTAGGAACTGAACCCCCGGGACGTGTACACTCATGGGGACCTAGCAGGGGGAACCACCGGAAGAAGGAAGAGTACTCAGTACACAGGGGGCAAGAACCAAGTCAGACCTTCCCCCCCCTCACCAGGCAGAAAACAAAAAGAAAAAGAAAACCCTGCAAGAGGACAGCGTACCCAAGCGGAACAGAGCCGGCAGCTATGATAGGTGAAAACTCGCTGTGCAGTACCCTGCGCCCCGCCAGTGCAAAACTGCCCCCCTACCCCTAGGCGAACAAGGGAGACAAAACACCCGAGCACACAAGGGGCGGCTGAAAACCAAGCAGTAAACGGCCTAGCAGAGGCAGAACCCAAGGAACTTGTGGAAGGGAACCCCAAGCCCCAAGGGCAGTACTTAAAGGGCACTTAGGGAAGGAAACCCTAGGTGCCCAACGCATGCAGCCCAGGTACTGAAGAAACACTCCCGGCTCACGCACCACCTAGAAGACAGACACCACACTCTAGGTACAGTTATCTTGAGATGATTTCGGGGCCTTTTATTTTTTTTTTAGTGTCCCAGCGGCCCGGTCCTCGACCTGGGCTCCACCCCCAGGAAGCAGCCCGTGACAGCTGACTAACACCCAGGTACCTATTTTACTGCTAGGTAACAGGGGCATAGGGTGAAAGAAACTCTGCCCATTGTTTCTCGCTGGTGCCTGGGATCGAACCCAGGACCACAGGATCACAAGTCCAGCATGCTGTCCACTCGACCGACCGGCTCCCTTGTGCTTCATACAGTGCTGAAACAACCACCGGAGCCAGAGCACACGACCTCATCCGTTAGCATCAGCCTTAGAACTGGGGGTGGATAGCTGGCGCGATGAGTCTGGGGCTCCCCCTTCCCCTTCCCGGGGAGGGGGGAGCTGCATGGACAGCGGCGCGGCGACGTGTGACATCATGATTGTTTGCTCGTTTATTTTAGGGTAGTTCTATCCACTTGTTCGGCTTGTGGTAGCAATCTTCACCAGAATAGGGGTTTGTTTTGGGATGCTTACCTTTCTGGGTGCCTAACCCGGTAGATGGCAGACATAAAATGCTTCCAACCACACAGGGGTTTCTATAGGTCATTGCTCCCCTTGCCTCTTCTGAGGGGGGCCAGGTTCTGGCTCGTGGTTCCTGGTAGGCCCATAGAACTTCATACACAAGACTGATGCCAAAGTCTGACATTAGCATATCAGCCTAGTAAGCTCCGGGGAGCCAAAGGGGCTCCCCCCAGAAAAGCAGTATGAGGACATGTTTAGCACTCCAATAAACAACATGAAAGTGGAAGATCCGGACAACTTCTTTATGCATGATATCCAAACCCCTGTAAATACCCGATATCAACACGTGCGTGGCAGATTTTGAGAGAGAAATTGAAAACATGCCCATGCACTCGGCTCCGGGTCCAGATTCATGGAATTCAATACTTATAAAAAGTGCCCATAGCACAGGCACTCAGTATAGGGAGCAGTGTGGGGGACGCAGGACAAACAACAGGGCAAGGACAAAGGAATACAGACAGAACCACAGTCAAAGCGACTAACACCCCCATGTCCGGGTTCCTATAACCAAAAAGGGGCCGCCTCAGAACATCCGGGTGAGCAACCAACCTAGTGTGTTGCAGCAACCTAAATTTAACATGCAATGCAGATGCTGCCTGTACCCAAATATCAATGTCATCAGAATCGGTAAATTGGAGAACAAGCAGAGAACACGATTCGCCAGATTCCGGGTCAAAGGTGTTGTTGACCCAATGGGCAGCATGACGGAGCCAAAAGCAGTGAATGCCACCCTGAGACAAGGGCATACAACACCTTCAAACTCGCATGAGGCGAGCTAGAACTCGGAAGATGCATCTATAGGTCCACTGAGCCCTGACAGGGTTTTCCAGGCTGACTGCTATGGGAAGCCCGGGCAAGGTGTTGCTAAGCGGTTAGACCCAAAGCTAACAAGGGGGAGATCAAAACACTGAAACCCCTGTGATGTGTATAATCACTGGGGCCTAGCAGAGGACCACCAAAATATCATTAGTGGTTCTATAGCCACTCTACACAGACCCCCACCAGGCAAACAAAACAAAAAGTAAAAGAAAAATTCTGCAAAAGTACAACGTTCCCAGAGGAAACTGGAACGGAGTCATGCATAGGTAAGCTGGCTGTGCAACACCTTGATGCCCCAACCAGCAACAAAATCACTCCCTACCCAAGGCCAAACAAGGGCCATGAAACCCCAGAAGGCTCTAAGGGCAGGGTAAATGCCAAGCAGCAAAAACCCCTATGGAAATTGCGTCCCGAATGCACCAGGGAAGATAACCCTGACACACAAGGGTATTACTCACAAGGCACTTAGGGAAGGCTGCACTAAGTGCATGCAGCCCAGTACACTTCAGGTCCAACTGGCCACCACACCACTAAGGCAAAACACTGCTGAGGAAACCTAGGCCAGAGTTCACAACTGCTCCAGATAACATTACCCAACGAACTGAGGTTGGGTAGCCGGTGTGGTGGGTCTGGGGCTCCACCCTCCCCCTCCCGTGGAGGGGAGGGGGGGTATGCTGCATGGAAGAGTGGCCCAGTGTAATGTTTCCTTGTTTGTTTATTTCCTTGGGATTTAAGGGAGTTCTACCTCTGCAGGCGATGAGTCACAATAACGTGACTGAAGTATGTTGACCAGACTACACACTAGAAGTTGAAGGGACGACGACGTTTCAGTCCGTCCTGGACCATTCTCAAATCGATTGTGATGAGGAGGTAGAGACAGGCAATAAATAGGCAAGAGAGAGCTGAGGAGGAAAGTAAGGTGTAGGGAATAGTAGTAATAATGAGAACTGCAGAGGGCCTATTGGCCCATTTCACACACTGAAACATTTCTCCCGAGTTCTACCTCTGTTCAGTTTTTGGTTTCAATTTTCTTACCATGTGAGGTCTGTTTTGTTATGCCTACCTTTCTGGGTGCCTAACTCCGGTCAATGGCAAATAAGGAAAACCCCTAACCACAGGTTTTTTTTCCAGGTGCCATTGCTTCCTGTGCCTCTCTGAGGGGGCAAGGTTCTGGCTCGTGGTCCCCAGTAGGCTGAACTCCATTGATTAATGCCCTGGTCTAATGTATTGCATATTTAGCCCGATAGCTCCAGGGAGTCGAAGGGGCTCCCCACAGAAAATATTAAAGTTTTCTTTTGCAAACAGAGCTGTAGACATTTGGAACAAACTAAGTGAGAAGGTGGTGGAAGCCAAAACCGTAGTTTCAAAGCATTATATGACAAAGAGTACTGGAAAGATGGGACACCACGAGGATAGCTTTCATCCTGTAACTACACTTAGGTAATTACCAGTCATTTGTATAGATACTTGAGTGATATATTTCCTTTGTAGATATATAATTTTTCAGTACATTATTATTGAGTACATTATTTTTCGTAGGGAAACTGAAATTCAGGTATAGATATAACAAAATATATTCTCTGCTTAACAAGAAGATGTATTAGCTACAGGTCAAGTGATTCCTAAGTACAATTAGAGCACAACTGTGTGATAACTTGTCTAATTAATAATGACAATTCATAAAAGAAATTACATCATTCTTATGTGTTTAAGTGACTTGAATACTGTACTGAAGATTCCTAAGCGCAATTATACCATAACATCGTGGTGAGGTAACAGGATCAAACAGTTGAACCAGATAAGCACAAATATTCTCCTGAAAGAAAAAGAAACAATTTATGAACATGAAGTATACACACAAAATCACAGACTATGGTGTCCAAAAGAAAAATACTCATTATTTATAACAAGTGGAGAAGTACTGAGGTTATTGACAACTTTTCATAATATATATGTATTAAATCAGGTATAGCAGGCAGACTCTTTGAATGATTCCAGAGTACAGCTAGTTTGTCTGTGGCTTTTAAACCTCCATTATCTTTCAACAGTAAGGGGGGTAAACAGGCATGACGGTAGGTCATTTCCACCTCATCCCTCCTACTGGGGGTTTTGTGGGTCACTTTTGGGTGGAACATGTCTAAGTTGGCTAGCTTACTGGAGCCTTGAGTTGCAGGGCTGCCATTAGCAGTTAGAACTGCCTAATGAGATAAAACTGCAGATAGTTGTTTTGGGGCACTCTACTTTAATGGTGGTCTTCTTAGTCTGGATTCCTTGGAGATCCCTGGAGAGAGGGTTCTGGGAGTTGTTCTGCCTCCTGGCCTGGGGCCAGGCTTTCTTGTGAGAGCATGGACCAACAGACTATTGCTTGGAGTCGCCTGGTTTCATACAGTTCTCTGATTGTGCCTATGGTGCCTGTGCCTATGAAAATCAGCACCTCCAAAGGATACCTGATCAACCAGGCTGTAACTCATACGTCAGGCTGTGAGCAGCCGCGTCCAACAGCCTGGTTGATCAGTCCAGCAACCAGGAGGCCTGGTCGACGACCGGGCCGCGGGGACGCTAAGCCCCGGAAGCACCTCAAGGTAACCTCAAGGTATGGTTCCTCTACTCCTCATTGGGGTCTATTCTGCATTTCCTGCCATATCATTCGATCCTGTATGTTTTTTTACTGTGCAAATTTGGAACTTTGCTTTCCAGTATTTTCCATAATATATATTATGTAATATCTCTCTTGTCTCCTTTCCAGGGAGTACATTTTAAGAGCTTTGAGAGGGTCACAATAATTAAAGTATTTAACTACTCAAATGCGCTGCATTAAAATATAACACCCCTGTGGTATGCCAGAAATAAATTATTTATAAAAAAACAGCACTGAATGTAATGAAATGCCAGTTTCTGGATGAGCCTTGGAGGCTTCCTGAAGCTATCATCACTGATAAATGCCATACTACCTAGTGTCATCAGTTGCAGAATTATTTTTGCCTACCAGGGACCATGAGCTAGAACCTAGCCGGGAGTGCTGGCCTATTATCAGTTTACATTTAAAGGATATCATCTTTGCCATTACCAGGGAAGGTACTCAGAAAGATAGGTGAATGAAAACCAACCACGGCCTGGTTTAAAAATAAGTCAGTAGCCTCAAAATGAAAAAAACAGCGTTGAATGTAATGAAACAAAATTTTCTGGGTGAGTCCCGGAGCTATCCATGGCTGATATGGATACCTAACTATTTTGCATCAGTCGATGTGGGTGGAGTTCTAGGCCTACCGGGGACCACGAGTCAGAACCTGGCCCCCTCACAGAGGCACGGGGAGCAATGGCCCATAGAATTGCACATGTGATTTGGAGCATTCTATATCTGCCATCGACTGGGATAGGCACCCAGAAAGGTAAGCGCCACAAAACAAATCCCTATTCTGGTTAACAACGAAAATTGACAAACAAGTGGACAGAACTCCCCAAGAAAAATGAACTAACAAGCATGACGTCACACGAGCAGCGCCACATGTCTGCGCAGCTCCCCCCTCCCCGGGAGGGGGAAGGGGGAGCCCAAGACCCCCGCGCCGGCAATCCCCGCCCCAGTTCTGAGGCTGGATATCAAAACCGCGAAAAAAACGCCGACCGGAGGGCGGGAGGGTGCCAGGGAGCCTCCGGGACTCACCCAGAAAATGCCGTTTCATTACATTCAACGCTGGTTTTCTGGGGGGAGCCCCTATGGCTCCCCGGAGCAACTTCACCAAAGACCACCTAAGAAAGCAAGGGAACATACCCGGAAGGCGGTCGGTGCTCCACTCAACACGAAGTCGAGACAACAACCCAAGGAACCCCCCAGAAAGCAGCAGGCACATCCTATGCCAGAAAAAGGGAGATGGCTGCAGACAAACAAACCTAGGACCACAACCATAGGAGCAAAAAACCACTGCGCCTCAGAAGAGCATGAAGCTCCGCCACACGACCCCCAGAGGCCAATGCCAACAGGAAAAAAAAAAGAGCCATAGCAAAGCAATCCTGAACCGAAGGAGCCAACAAACCAAGGAGAAAGACAGGAGAGCACCCTGTCCAAAGACCAGGACGACACAGGCAGCACATGAGCAGGCCGGAGGTGAAACAACGCACGAGACAGCCTGTGAAACAGCGCAGAAGGAACATTGATACCGAAAGCTAGCAGCAGAAACCGATGTGCCAGACCCAGGAACGGCCCCAAGTGGCTCTACATCCTCCGCAAGCCAATCCTATGACAGCTCCAGGAGGGAAAAGAAACGCAGGACCGAAACCAAAAAGCCACGAGCACGCAATTTCACCACCACAAGTGCAGCCGACAGGGAAGGAACCCGCACAAAGTGCCGCCCCACACCAACATCCTGCAGAAGGGCAGGAGCGAAAAGACTATTAAGATGAGTAAAATCGCCCCCAGGAATGAGCAGCGCCGAGACAGCGCTAAGAGAAGAGACATGAACAAAAGAACAAGAAGGCCAAACACCCAGAAGCTGCCCGGACTAGGACCCATAAGCCCTAGAAAGGACCGGAGGGAAACCCCACCAAATGACGACAGACTTACCAGAAAACGGGAAGGAGCAAAACTGTCCCGAACCTTCGAGAACAAAAAGAAGCAAACACAAAGAACGAAGGCACAAAAAACCCAGTCGAAACCGAGACCAAACATCATGCAGAACCCCAAGAAGAGGGGGACATGATGGAGAAGGCCCATCCCAGAAAAAAGGGGCGAAGACCGTAGAAAAGCACCCACCGACAGGATGGAAGCAACGGGCATAATGGACAAGGAACTGAGCTCGGGGAGGGGCCGATGCCCAAAAGCTTGTGTGAAGAGGGGGGTCGGAAAAACCCCACTCCACAAAACCGCAAGCCCCGCCCATAGGGGTAGAAAAACCCCGGCAGGGACCAACGGGGCCTGAGGCCCCCCACCTTAGCCCCACCCCAGCCCCTGCAGGCCCCGGAGCCGAGCTGTCCCCCCCCCCAAAGCCCCAGCGTCAAGAAAAACCCCGGGGCATCCATGAAAAGCTCTAAGGAAGGGAGCCCACTGGGCTCTGGAACTTGAACTGAAACCAAATAATAGGCGAGGGGTGAGACGAAGAGCCCAAGCTCATCCCCAGCCAGCACAACGAGGCAAGGACAACGAGGTCAGGACAGAGAATCCAAGGAACATGGAAAAACCAGGCCCGGCACAGCAAGACCGGCAAGAAAGGAGGGCCCCTAGAGGGAGCACGGAAGGGCCGAACAAAATGCCACAACCATACCCTTACACACAGCCGCAGTACCAAAACCGCAGCAAAACGTCACCACACTCCCCGAGGAAGCGACAGGGAAGATAAAGATAAACCGTAACACGAGTGGCACACAAGGGGACACAGGCAGAAACTGAGTACCCAACCGAGCCACAGGGACGGTAGAAGAAACGTGCGCAGTGTAACAGGCAATCGATGGAACACATTAAGCAGCCCACACCTTGGCTGACCCCATACACAGCCCCAAGAGCAGAGACGAGAGCGCCCAGGAAGCACAGAATCTGCACGTCAGGCAAACGACAGGGGACAGGTGGAACCAAAGAGCCAGAACCCAACCCTGCAAGCACATAACACCCTCGACACAGGAAAACACATCACCGAACAGGCACCTCCACCGTTGCACCGTGGAACAAGGTGGAGGCGGGGCCCCAAACTCAAGCATGGTTAGACAAGCATAGGAGAGGGGCAGGATGAGTACAGGCAGGAGCTGCCTCGTAAGGGCCAAGGAGCCACCCGCAGTCACCTGTGAACCGAGGAAGGAATCGGGTGATGAGAACAAGAGCTGCCATGTATGGGCCAATAGCCCTGCAGCAGGCACCTCGGTTGTTATGTTCCACGTTCCCAAGTACGTATGTACACTCATTCCTACTTCCAAAAACAAAAGCAGCGTCAGGACGAAGGAGACGCCAGACCGCACCAACTCACCTGCAGAACATAGGCGCTGAAGGGCCATGATGCAAGCCTATGACAACGTAGCCGCCAGAGGCGGCCAAGGCGCCCATGCCGGAGAGGAGGAGGGGAGCGGGAAAGGAGGTTCCCCCCCCCAAGATAAAATGGACGCAGAACACCAACACGTGTGCACACCACCCGGAACCAAAACAAACTCCCACTGCGCATGCGCAGGACACGAAAGAAAAGTAGCCCAACAAGGCGACAAGTAGCCAAACCGGCTACAAGTAGCCCAACCGGCTACAAGTAGCCTAATTCGGCCACAAGTAGCCCAATCCGGCATCTCGGACCAGAACAGAAGGAACCAGTATGGAGGCAAACTCCGGGTCACGCAGGAGGTAAGCCTTCGCAAAGGCCAACCGCACCGCGGGCAAAGAGATGCGGGTAGCCGAAAACCTCCGGAAGACGGAACCGAAGAAACCACAGGGACACGGAACCGAACCCGGGAATGAGCAGGACCCAAGTCCAAATCGTACGCAGAGGGAGAAAAGAAAACCCCACTCCTTGCAACAGTAAGCCCCGTGCAGAAGGATGGAAATCCAGGCGGGGCCCAAGGCCCCCAAGTCCGCTCCTCCCCAACCCCAGGAGCCTCTACACCAGGCCCCGGGGCCGAGTCGACCTCCAAAGCCCCTGCCTCACAAGAAAAAGCCGGGGCAGCCGAGAGAGCTGGAAGTGAAGGGGCCCACTGGTCAGACCCCGGAGCATCGGCCGGAGGAATAGACTCGAATGCCTCCGCAGCTACCCCGGACGGGGCAACCCCCGAAACTGCCCAAGTCTCAGAAACCTCTAACCCCGCCCCGACCCCGAAGCTTGCAGACGCTTAGGGGCCGGAAGCAGGAAGGGG